GGGGTGCGCACAGACACAGCCAGTCCTCATGTGTTCCCGCACACCCCCACCCTGGGACCACCGACCCACAACATGGCCACCTGCCAGAGCACTGCAGGGCCCTGGGGTGACGTCCGGGGTGTGCTCCTTTGGGGCTTCCTTCTCAGCAAAGGGGCAATCATGGGGGCCGACAGGGGAGGACTGAGATATACGCAGGTGGGGGAAGGCCTGGCCCCACAATGTCCCAGGGGTGTCACAGGCTTGCTGGACCAGCCAGACACCATGAAATGCTGACCGTTAAGACATACTTGCAAATTTTCTTCAGCTTCTTCATTTTCTCAGGATTCAGCTGGGGTTCTCCAGAAGTTGTGAGGTCTTCCACCAACTCTGAAAGTCTTTGATCCATATCTAGAACATGTAACAAAGACACTAGGGGCCGCTCGGCTCTACTAACAAACATTTACTAAGCTCCGCTGTATGCTGGGCACGGGGGTGGGGGAGGCTGGGGTCTTCGTGCCCGAGATGACCCCTGGATGCTGACATCTAACAATTCAAGGGGCCGGTCCTGGCAGGACCAACAAGGCCTTTTTGGCGGTAATTAGGGCAAGTGCAACAAGAAAACGTTAACTCTGGAGCCCTGCAATCACAGTGTTTGGCCACGAGCGTTACGGGGAAGTTACTGTTTAAATCTGCTTTTCCCAAGAGGGCCTGCGGCGCCCTTCCCCTTGCCGACACCGCCCTGGAAACCCGCAGGGCCGGGCCTCCGGAGACCGCGCGCGTGAGCCCCTGTGGACTTCTCGAAGGGGACCCGGTTTGCGCCCGGGGAACCACCTGGAGGCCAGGTGCAAGCCTAGCAGAGGAGGGTGACCCAGGAGCCCGGGCGGCTCGGCAGGAGCGCAGGAAGGCGAGGCGCGGGGGGCGTGGACGCCGGGCTGGCTGCCGGGACCAGCTGTGCTTGGTGGAAAGAGGGACCGACCGGGCCGGCGTCCACCGGGACGGGGAGCCGTCCCCGGAAAGAGGAGGGCGGTGTCCAGGGACGAACGAGCGGGCAGTGCCGGGAGGCGGCGTGCTGGGGAGCAGTGAGGGGATGTCCCGGGAAGGAGGGGGCCGCACCCCGGGGAAGAGCGGAGAGAGACGGGTGTCCTGATCAGAGAGGGCGGTGTCCCAGGGAGAGGACGTCCGGGGACCGGGCCCTCCCCACCGGCCCCTCGCCCCCGCAGCGCCGCTCCCCAGCTGGGCCGCCGCCACCGAGCCCCAAGAAGAACTCGCGCGACCCCTGACCCGAAGCACGATCACCCCGACACCTACCGCGCGACCAGGCCACCCGTCTCGCCCCGCCCCTTCCGGCGAAGGACCCGCCTCGTGTCACGTGCCCCAGATCGTTACAGTCATTAGCTCGCACCTACTGCGCAACGCTGCCGCTCTCACCTCAGCCCCGCCTATTCCGGCGGAGGGCCCGCCTCCTCATGTGCCCCCGAGCTCGGCAACCAATGGTNGACTGGGCAGCACGCCTGCAGCCTCTCCAGGGATTCCCGGGTCACACAAGGCGTCAGGCCCACCCTGGCCGCCCTGCCTACACATCACGAGGGCCGCAGGGCAGGGCTGCGGGATCCACAGCATCAAGTCCCCCCCTCACCCCAACCTTGGGAGTCCCTCCCCGCTCACAGTCCCAGGAAGTCTGAGGCCTCAGAAGTGGCCAAGGGCCTGTGGCCAAGGAGATCCAGTGCAGGGGGGCAGCCTGGGAGAGTCCCAACCAGTGCAAGGAGTGGGGTACAGGTGTCGAGCGGCGGCCGGCAGCCCGTTACCTGAGGAGAGCTCCACATCCAGCGTGTACTTGTGGGAGCCCAGCCCATGGCACCGCACAAACTCTTCCTGGTCACTGTCCTCGTCCTCTGAGGGGGTCCCCGGGGCGGCCTGGGGTGGCCCCGCCCCGTCAATGGCTGCCGGACGCCACGCACAGGCAGGCAGGGCCTTGCTGCAGCATGGCTGCTCCTCGTCCTCGAGGTCGGGGGCACCAGCCAGGCGAGGGGCACCCTCCTCAGCAGCACCAGAGGCCCCCAGGCTGGGGCCCAGGTCAAAGGGTACCAGCAGCCGGACGCAGCTCTCCGCCTCCGTGAGGCAGCCCCGGATTTCTCCGGACGTTTCTGCAAAGACCAAGACACTGCTTGGCGGTCACGTCACAGGACAGCAGCTCCCGCCCCCGGGCAGGCCCCGTCCGAGGGAGGCCCATCCCAGCAGCAGGCGGGTGGCCCGCACGTGGGCCTCTCCCCCCCGCAGAGGCCAGCACCCTGGCTGGGAGTGTCAGCAGAGACTCCAACTGCTGGAGATGCCGCCCCGCTCAGCGCAGCAGCCATCCTCCTATGTTCTGGGTGACACAGGCCGCCCCACAGCCCCGTCTGAGTGCACCTGCACCACTGCTCCCCACCGGGGCTCTCTCTCCTCGGGTGCAGGGCCAGCTTTGCAGCCTTCTCCCAGGCCTAGGCTTCCTGGCAGGGCTTTAAGGCAGGCTGCCGCCCATGTCCCTCACACGCTGACGGCCAGAAAACAAACGCTGGGGTTCACAGAAGGGGTTAGCAAGAGCAAGGTCAGACCACGGTGGGAACCACATTTTCCCTCCTGCGCCCCCACCCCATGACACAGGGAGGTCGTTGGCCAGTATGCCCACCAGGGGGCGGAGGAGCGGTGTACTCGCCCACAGGGCCCACCCAGGTGCTGAATGCAGGAGGTTGGGGGGGGGGGCGGCACGTATGTCTCTGCCCAGTCGTCTGTCCACCTGCCGCACCCCGTCCCACCGGCGGCAGGCCCTGAAGCTGGGCAGTGCGGCCTGGAAGGCGCAGGAGCACCAGGGTCCTGGAACTCACCCTCCATCTCCCGCACAGCCCGCTCGGCCTTTTCCCGGTAGATTCTGTCCAGGCGCTTCTGCTTCTCCTCTTCTCGCTTTCTTTCCGCTGGGGTCCTCACATTTACATCTTGAAAATCCACCTGAAAGACAGTTAAAGATGAGACCCGACTGGAAAGAACACCAAGTAAACAGAAGTCAAAACGGGCCCCAGAAAAGACGTGCCAGCACCAGCACAGGGCCAGACCTCTGTGGGTCTTTTCCACTCAGCGTTCAAACTACAAGGAGACAATTGAACTGTATGTTTAGTCCCTGGAAAGAGCACAGCCTGCAGCACTTCCCCACAATATGAAAAACNCGGCTCCACCCGCCGGCACCGGGACTGCCAGTTCCCGGCCACCCCGCCCTGCCTGCTATCAGACCATACGGCCAGAGGGGGCAAGGGGCCCTCCACTGCTCAGCGCAGCAGGGCACTCCTCACTGCCTGCCTCGGTTTACCCTGTCGTCCCCGTGTCAGTGGACAGACACGGCCCCCAGGTCAGCCACTCAACCCGGCCAGCCCCTCCAGCCTTCAGAATAGACAGTGGCATCTCCTGAACCAACGCCATCCCCCCCCAAGCCCACTGCTGCCTCTGAGCACCCAGCCCTGAACACTGCGTGCATCCTGCAGGGAGGCACAAGGCTCCTGAGTGTTGTCCCCATGTCCCCCAGGTGTGGGGCTGGGGGGGGGGGAAGTCCCGGTTTCTATTAGTAAAGGTTCAAGTCACACGTGAGCTCGGAGGCGGCCAGGAGGCTGACAGGAGCCCCAGGTCTATGGGGGAGCAGGAGCCAGAGTGCAGACAGGTGCCACCCCTGGGGTGACCAGGCCTGGACACGAACCCGGGGAGGGCCCCTCCTCCACAGAAAGCCTGAGCCCCTTCCGTCTCCGAGCAGCCATGTCCTTGAAAGAGGACTCCTCCTGATCGCCACCCACCCGCCGGCACCAGCAGGACCGCGGGTCCCGCCAGCTGTGCAGGAGTGCCTGTGCCTCCTGGCTGATGGGCACAGCTTCTAGTGATGCAGTGACATTCAAGCCAGAGCCAAGGCCCAGCTCCTAGTCACAGCCACGGAGGGGCGGCCTTCAGCGAAGGGAGGACGCCCGACTGCCCACGCCCGCCGTGCTCAGGCCGAGCCGTCTGGCCCATGACCCCGCGGCTGCTGACAGTGAGCGATGATGTGAGGTAAACTCCCCCCACGCGCTAGGACACGCTGACCAGATCAATCACCGCCCTCTCGCGACCAGAAAAAGACCTCTTTTCACTGAAAAAGGAGTATCCTGGTCAGAGTTCACAGCGCTGACTTATTTCGTAGTTAAGTTACACACCCGAGCGAAGCTGTCAGGCGTTAACCAGCCCCCTGGAGACGCGGCCAAGGCAGCAAACGCCCAGGCTCATCTCGCCGGGTTTCCGAGAAAGACAAGAGCGCCCTCTGCCGGTCCCCAAGGGCCGCACAGGCGCCCAAAGCAGGCGGCTGCATTGCTCTGCTCAGCTCACCTGGTGCGGGTCCACCCATGCCCTCCCTCAGGCAGCACGGCAGGTGTGGGGCAGCCAGCTGCACCACTGGGACCGGGACACTGGGTGCCAAGACCGAGGGAGTCGGCCACTCTCGTTCCAGGCCTGAGTGGCTCTGAACTTGTTCCTCTCCTCAGCAAGGGACAGCGTTCTTCCCACCCCAGATCCACAGCACCCTCCCCTGCAGGCTCCTGCGGATGAAAAGCTGCGGCCGGGCCCAGGGCCTGGGGAAGGGGCACACTCTGGTGTCAGCAGAAGCGGATGAGATCTGCATCCAGCAGGTCCCCTCCTACTTGGCAGGCCCCACGGAGGACACAGCTCCCGGGCTTTCAGCATTAAGGGCTAGGTCTGGACGCAGGCCCGACAGAGGGGCTGACAGGCTACATCTCTGAGGCTCGGGGCTGCCGCTTGGGTGCCTGGTGTCCCGGTGGGGCGTGGGGGGCTTCATCCCATGCCGNCTGTTATCATCAAAAGAGGAAGGCAGGTTAGCGCTGCCTGCACCAGCCCCTCTGTGCGCCCAGCTCCAGGCGACCAGCAGCAGTTCCCCCTCTTGCAGCACAGGCCCTGCTGCTCTCCAGTCCTAACAAAGCCTTTCTCCTTTGTCTGATTTCCCTCCCCAGCCTGTTGCGTTTGGCTTCCTCTTGCAGCAAAACCCCTAGGAAGAGCATCCCCTCGCCCAGACCTCACTCTTTTTCCACTATACCTGCAATCTCCCCGACGTGTGTGCACAACTCCCTGTCCTATCTTCTGTCCCATCTCCTGTCCCACACTGCCTAAACGTCCTGCCCACCGCCCCAAATCTCAGCTGATGGGCAAATGTCCCTCCTTCCAGCCGGGCCAATAACCTTGGAGTCCCCCAGGCCCTGCTCCCTCTCACCCAACGTCCATTCCATGCAGACAGCCCCACTTTCAGAAAGTGCTCAGAATATGAGCACTTCCCAGCACCCCACTGCCACCATCCCCTCAGCGAGTCCCCACCTCTGCCCCATGCCCCTGGAGTTCATTCACCATGCAGGCACCAGTGATCCTCAGAGCCTAAGGTCAGATCATGTGACCCTTTCACCCCATTCATTGGCTCCCATCCCAGAGAAAACAGAAATCTTCCACACTGCCCACAGGGCTTTCCTGACCCCAAAAGGCGGTTCTTTGAAAGGATCTATAAAATTGATGAGCCTCTAGCTGGACTGATCAATAACACAAGAAAAAGCAGATGCCCAGGGTCAGGGTGACAGTAACATCACTATGTGTCCTGCAGACATTAAAAATAATAGAGTGCAGCATGGACAACGCACCTAGCAAAATCTAGCACACCCAATGCCGCGACCTGTGACACAGCCGTGCCCTGTGGGCTCGTCTCAGGAGTGAGAGCTTTGTGTAACAATTCAATCAGCGCAATTCTGCAAATCAACTGAATAAAACAGTAAAAACATATGGGAATTTCATTAGCTGAAAAAAAGCACATTTGACAAAATGCAACATCCACACATGTTACTAACTCAGGAAAGGAGGAGCGAACTTCCAACAGCTACGAAAACCTGCAGTGATTCGTCCTTCACAGTGAAGGGTGGGGTCCACCTGAGCTTGTGAGACCAGGACGCCCCTCACCCTCCTGCTCAGCACCGCTGCTCAGAGGCTCCTGCTGCTACAAGGAAGAGACGGAAATGCACGGCACAGACAGTAGGAAAAGCAAGACTATTTGCAGTCTGTCCATAGAAAATGCTTTAAAATGTACCAAGAGCTACTAGAACTAATCAGTGAGTTTGGTAAGGTCACCGGATGCAAGATCAATACACAAATCGATTATATGTCAATATGTTACCATATGGGAACAACTGGGAAGCTAAATTTTAAATTTTGTTTACAATAGTATTAAAAATCATGACATACATAAGGTTAAATTCACAAACAACGTTCCCTGAAAAATACAAAGTGTAGATGGATAGATAGCAGTGACGGGGGTCTAGACATGGAGACACGTTCGTGCCCATAGATGGGAGGACTCAGGGTTGTCAAGGTTTTAAAGTCCCTGCTCCGGACTGTTGTGCCCTCCCTCATGTGACTGTATTTGGAGGTAACTAAGGTTAAATGAGGTCATAAGGGTGGGGCCCTGGTCCCACAGGACTTGTGTCCTTCTAAGAAGAGGAAGGGCTAGCGTTTTCTCTCTTCACCTTCCTCTGCCTCCCTGGAAGAGAGGCCTCAGCAGGAACCAGCCCTGCTGGCACTTTCATCTTGGACTTCTGGCCTCTGGAACTGAGAAAATATTTTTCTGTTGTCCAGGCCCCTAGTCTGTGTTATCATTATGGCGCCTGAACAGACTAAGACATCCCCACACTGATCTATAGATTCAATGTAATCCATACTTTTTTTTTTTTTAAGATTTTATTGGGAAATTGGGGGAGGGGAACAGCATTGGGGAATCAGGGAAGGGGAACAGACAAGTTGCTGTCCTTTTGTTCTTCAGTCTAGTTGTGGAGGATGTCGCTTCACTGGCCCATGTTGGTATTATCATTGAGCTCTTCCCGGGTGAGGCAGATCTGTCACCGGCCACTGGACGGCCGCTCACGGCGGCTCTTGGCAGCTCACGCCGGCTGCCGGGCACTCATGGTAGCTCACGGCAGCCCCACTGCAGCCTACGCTGTTGCCAGTGACTCAGGGCAGCCCAGCTCTAGGTCAAGCGGTTGTTCACCATCTTAGCTGTAGAGGGCACAGTGTCACTGGCCTTCATGTGGGATCCGAACCGGGGTGCTGCTCAGAGCTGGTGTCCTAAGCCAACTCTTAACCAATGCGCCACTCGGCTGGCACATATATATACTGTTTAAGTAAAACTACAATGGCCGATATCCGGGGCGTTGGTGTGGGGACAGCCCTATGGAGGTTACACAGAAGTCAGCATCCAGAAATAGACCCAGTAGACCCAGTCAGGGGACTTTTTTTTTTTAAACAAGCCACGTTATCCAATGGGAAGAAATGTTTTTTTTTTTTTTTTTAGGAAGAAGTCTTTTCAACAGATGACATTGACTTCACTCTCACACACACACACACACTGAAGTTAACCTGCGTTGGGTTACAGACCTAAACATAAAAGCTAAAACTAAATCTTCTGGAAGATACGAGACAATGTCATTGTGACTTTGGGATGCGCAAGAATTTCTAGAACATAAAAAAGCATTAACCATACAAGAAAAAATTGATAAAGTAAATTTTACTAAAATGAAAACCTCTGCTGATCAAATGTACTGTCAACAAAGTATAAAAACATTTGACTAAGGATTTGTATCTAGAATATTTAAAGAATTCCTGCAAATTCTTTAAATTTTTAAAAAATTCTTTTAAAAATTCTTAAAAAAAAAAAAAGCAGATAATCCCATAAAAAGTGGGCAGATCTATGACTAGGCAGTGAGCACGTGGCAGGTGCTCAAGTGGGCAGGAACGCAAAGCCCCAGCTGGACCGCTGACGGCCAGGAGGAAGGCATGGAGCAGCTGGAACCCTCTGCCAGCTGATGTGGGTGAGCCGGTGTCACAAGCGGGCCAAGATGGGCTCTGGTGAGGATAAACACACAGCAATGTGACCCGGAATTCCACTTCCAGATTCTGCCTGAGAAAAAGGAGACACTGTCCACAAAGATGTGTGCGCCAATGTCCAGCGCTAGAATCTGGCAGCACACCGGTCCCATCGGGAACAGACTGGACAAGTAACGCGTGCTGCATGGGGACGATCACTGCTCAGCAGTGTGCAGGGGGGCCAGGCAGGCATGCACACTTTGGGGGCCTCAGGACTTGCTGGGCACTGGTGGGCACTGGTCTGCGACTGGAGGCTCAGGGGACCAGAGCTCATGCCTGCTGCTGAGAGGCTGAGTGATGATGGCCGACTGCATGCGGGGGTGAGGCGAGTCTGGGAGACTCACCGGTAACTCTGAGGCCTGGGAGCGCTGTACACCCGGCTTGGGATTCCCCGTGTCCACACCCATCGGAACAACCCAACTGTCTCCTTCAGATCTGGGTGCCCCCGTGTATGCAGTCTTCACCTCGTTACGAAAACCCACAGCGAGCTGCCACCCCACACAGACTCCGGGGCCCAGCCTGCTGAAGGTGGGCACGGGCACCACCACTTGGCCAGTTGCTCTGCGTACAAACTAAACCTAGCAACTGCTGGCCTCAGTACATTCTCACGGATGGGTGCACCCAGCAGCCATGAGTAAGTCACGGCCAGCGTGTGGGAATGGGGCACTGTGCTCTCTCACCGGGTGGACACTACAGGCAGCCTATGATGGAGCCCCCGGCCATTCCATGTCCAAGTGGCTTGGGAACTGGCAGAGCCACTCTGGCAGTGACCCATCCCTGTGGGAAAGGCCCCGTGGGCACCCTTGGGGCCGAGGTGGCTGTGTGGTGGCTGCCCGCGTGTGACATATAGAGCGCCAGATGACCTGTGCGCTCCCTGGAGTGGCTTTGACAGGAAAGAAGGAAAGGAGGTACGCTGTGAGTGCAGCAACCAGGAGCAGCCAGCTTACCTAGAGCTCTGAGCGGGCTCACGCCAGCCCCAGGCCACAGCGCCACTCGGACGGCACTGGCAGAGCAGTGATGGCCGGAGGGCATGGTCTCTTTGGGACATGGACCCCAGGCGGGTTGGGGAGCAGAGGGCTGACAGACCGTCAGGAAGCCACAGCTGCCAGCGTGCAGGGCAGGGTGAGGGCCGGGCAGGCTGAGGCTGGAAGCAGGAGCAAAGGAACTAAAAGGTGCGCCCAGGTGGAGAGCAGGCAAGGGGGCAGCTGGTGAGGGCGTGGAGACCACCTGCGGCTTCAGCAGGACCCGTTTGAAGGAGCAGCAGGGACAGAAGTTACCAGCACACAGTGGTCAGCATCCGGGCCGTGGGGAGCAGGGCAGGTCGGTGGGGCCGGCCCCTCAAGCACTAACCAGGCGGAGGGTCTCAGTCCCTCTGGCCACAGCGACAGAAGCTACACAAGCTGAGTAATTTGCCACATATAAGCAGGGCGGCTTCTGGGAGCTGAGGCAGTGGTTGGGCCCCTTCAAGACAGGACCTGCCAGGCAGGCGGAGGAGCCCTTGTCACCACCAATGTCGGAGCCGCCTTGCAGCCACAGTGTGCCTGCCCCCTGGGGCAGGCAGGAAGGCGCGTGTCCTGACGCCCTGTCCCTGCCAAGCAACTTCTCGAGAGCATGATGGCTGAAATGAGGCCTTCCCTACGGTGGGGAGGGGGCGAGGCCACCTCACCCCAAACGCAGCCCTCTGAGTGTGGGAAGGGCCCTGCCGGTGGCCCGGCACCTGGATGGGAGCATGGGGACGTGGCGCCTTGCTCCTGGCCGGGCACCGGCTCAGCCATAGACCCGCTCTGCTTCAGGTGCCCCAAGGGACCCCCGTGACCAGGTGCTGAGGCTGAAGGGGTCCTGGGGGAGGACCCCGAGGTGGAGGTCCTGTGGGCGCAGCTCGGGGCCACGAGGCCCCACGGCCTCGCTGCTGACCAAAGGCCCAGGGATGAGCAGACACAGCAGCGGGCGTCACAAATGCAGCAGCTTCAGCCTCACTCAGAAATGAGAAATAGAAAACCCTTTTATTAACATGTTTGACATTTACAGTTTATTAGCTAATCCACGTCAACATGCACTGAATACAAACCTCTACGATATGGTTGTGTCAACTACAATGGTTCACTTGATTCGAAAAGTCATCGGTGGTTATTTCAACTGTAATGAAGAGCATTTAGACCTAACGTTATGGAACCATCCGGCAAGGCCTCTGCAGAAACTCAGTCCAGTGGATCTCCACAGGAGTACATTCTCAAGCAGGGTAAGGCGGCACGAACGATGGGACAGTCGCGGGTGCCCGCGGGCCGTGGGGCTGGGCGTTTCAGCAGCAGCGCTACAGCCCAGTGTCCCTCGTGCACCGCTGGTCACTGCCGGTCGGTCCGGCGTGGCCACCCCTCTCAAGGCCACAGCGCAGGACCAGCCTGTTCCCAGCAGAGGGAGGGAACTGTGAGAACAAAGCCACTGACTGCTATTTCTGAAGTGTTCCAGCGCCCCTCTTGGTGTCACGCCAGTCTCAAGCCTCTCTCAAAGGCGAAAGTCCTTTCCAAAAGCATCAAGCAGCCGACAGGTTACAAACCCACCCAGCAGAAGGCTGTCGCAAGCAGACTCGTCAGTCTCGCCCCCTCCCCTCCTGAGAGTGTGTCGCTGCTCACAGATCTTTGGTCGCAGGAGACAAGAGGCGCTGGAGACGGCGGGCGAGGGCCCTACATGATGTACACCTTCTCGGCCTGTGAGAAGTGGAAGACCTCTTTGGTTCTTGGGCAAACCACCTTATCGTCTTGGCGGATCGACAGCAGAGACTGGAAGACAAGACCAGAGCGCGTTAGGACAAGCAGACGCGACATAATGCCGCTTTCTGCCACACCACACACGGGCTCCCAGCGGCGTGCCCACCCCGCCCGCCCTGCTCACGTTATAGCCGTAGACATAGCCGTTGGGCAGCATCATGGGCGGATTGTTCTCGTTCATCACGTCACCTGAGATCTTGCAGACCAGGCGGGAGTTGGCGCAGTGTGCCATGGGCAGTGGCTGTGCCAGCTTGTTCAGGGAGCGGCTGCACACGGGGCAGTCAGGGCTCCTGGAGCTGCCGTCGTCCTTGTAGCACTGTCTATGCCTCAGGTCAAGGAAGGGCACGGGGTGGGGGCCAGGGTGAGCGAGGGGCGCGGAAGCCACTCACTGCCATGCGGGCACCAGGCAGAAAGCCTCTGGCAGGAAAAGAGCCTGAGGCTGAGTGAAACGAAGCCAGAGTCCCCCAGCTCAGGGCCGTCTCACACTCGGAGAGCAGGGAACACGCACCCACCCATACCATGCATGGCCCCAAGGCGGGACAGGTGGGAGCCGTGTGCCCTGGGACATTCATGTGGGCATCAGAGAAGGCTGCAAGCTACAGAGCAAGCTCTCCTCTCAAACCGTCACACAGGCCGCCTTGCTTCTCAGCTGGGTCTGCCCAGGCGCCAGCAGCGGCCCTGGGACAGTCACTTGTCCTGTCACAGGCAGGGCCTGCCCTATGTGCCCAGCATTAGATGATGACTAAGAGGAAAAGAGCCCAGGGGTCCTGATGGGGAGATGCAGAGGGGCAGTTCTGGAGGGGACCACACACTGCATTTGAGGGACCCACAGACGCTGGGGTCAGGCTCTCAGCTCCGGCCCTGGGGGAGACTGTCACCCTGCTGGAGACATGACCACCTGTGAGCTCATGTGGGAAGACCCCTCGTGGGGACAGCAAGGCTCAGACCAAGCAGCATTCCAGAGGGCTCTTAGGAGCCACATGGGAACCATATTCTGAATGGATCAAGTCCCAGCTGCCAGAAGACACACAAACGGTCGCATTCTGGTGACACAGTGAGCATGCCTGCGGTCTGCCTAGATGGCGAATCTACCAGCAGCGCCCGGCCGTGTCAGCTTGGGGGCCACACACGGTAAAGAGCGCAGTCTGACCTTGTGAGGCCGGTGACGGTCGGGGGAGGTCACAGCCATGAGCCCCCATCGAGGGCAGAAAGGATACGGTGTCTTTATCGCCGAGAGGCCGGCCTGCAGGGTGAGGGTGAACACGGAGCTGTTCCCCAGCTGGTGCAGCCTGTAGTTGTCGTACCGGAACTGCTGAGTCAGCATGCGCCACCGGGCCGGGTCCAGCAGGTCCTGGGGGACAAGGGCGGGCTTCAGAACGCATGTCATCACAACAGCAACCAGACATGAGGCCGGTTCCACGTGGACCAAAGGCAGAGAACGGAACAACCACCCCTTCCGGCCAGAGGTGGCATACTCACGGCCCCCAGTGGCGGGAATGCACCCGGGACCTTGTGACAAGGACCCGACTCAGCAGGCTGCAGGACAGCCTGGCACAGAGCATGCTTTGGAGCCTCGTGCTGGGGACATGGAGGTTTAAGTGGAAAAGCCTCATTCCAGAAGAGAAAGAAGACTGGATCTGGTTAACGTCTGTCCCTACAATCACCAGGTTTCCACTCAAAGGTGTGTGTTTGGGAAGCACAGACAGAAGCCAAAGCGTTTGAGACCTGTGAGATCAGCCAAGGGGTTCAGCAGGCCCGTCTCGGGAGGGCACAGCTGGCCTGCTGTGCGAGCCCCTCAGAGTCCCCGAGTTTAGGGCACACGTCACTCTCAGTGAAAAACCTGTTTTAGCATTTTCACCCAGCACGGCCCATGGGGGGCTGAGCCATGGCCCAGGGCTGTAACAGCCCCAGACCCTCTGCTTCCAGCCTCTGGTGGGGCCATCTCACTCTGGACACTGTTTCGTCCTGTTTCTTGCGTCCTGGGGATGGGGTCCTGCTCCCTCATGTGGCGACTCTGTCCCGTTTCAAGTGCTGCAGTCCTGTGCTGTCCTCCGAGCCTCCAGGCCCCGTTTCCGGGACACGGCACTGTGTCAGCGCTCCATCTGTTTTCTGTACCTCAAGCTGCCCGTTTCCTCAGAGCCTAGGTTCTCCCGCCTGTTCCTTGGTCTTTCTCTTGTGGGCTGTCGAATTTCTCCATTTCCGTGTGCTGCGCCTGTCACCGGGTGGGCACAGCTGTCTGCTGGGACCCACGCAACTGAGGCTCGGCCCTCCCGCCTCTGAGGCAGCACTTGCCCCGGAAGTGCCACGGCCAGGCCTCTCAAGGAGGGGCCGGGCATCACGTCCTCCCGAGCTGGACCTCACAGCCCCAAGAGCGGGTTGGTCTTTCATGCCTTTCTGACAAATCTTCTCCACAGCAGGGATGAGAAACTTAAAATGCCACCAGTTAAAACCTGAGTCTCGACTCCCCTCCTGGGGGCTCTATGACCTGGTGACTTCAGTCACTGCATAGCCCCTCAGTGCACAATGGCATGGATTCAGTTGGCGTGGAGAAGCTGCCAGCACCCTCCCGGAGGCCTGCAGCCCAACACTGCAGACGGGGTGCCCCAGGTGTGTGTTCATAGCTGGGGGGAAGGTAGGGCAGC